CTATATCACAGATTACCTCTTGTACCCACATGGAGCACTAGTGACACAAATAATTATTGCATTACAGATATGGGAAAAACAAACTGTCCTTGTCCCAATACGCCTAGCTTTTCTAAATATATACAAATATATATATACCCGCAAAAACTTAAGAAAACAAATATTTATGTATGTATGTATGTATGTATGTATGTATGTATGTATGTATGTATGTATAGTATTCAGCTTTGTTCGGGTATTTTCCCACGTCATTATAGTTGTGCTTTTAAAGTTGTAGCAACGTTTCAGCAGAATCTCATCTGCCATCATCAGGCTTCTGTATTGTGTTCGTCTGTGAGTCAGACTTTTACAGTTGTTTCAGTTTTTAATTTGGGGCTAGCCTACTGCTGTGCCAGAATGGTTTTTTTCTTCATCCTGATTGGTTGGGAGTCTTGGTCTGTGTTTATTGGTCTTGGAGTTTGCTGTGTTCTGCTTGATTGGTGTTTCTAATATCTTCTGTCTGTTTTGTAGCTTTTTTTGTGTCTTGATTGGCTGGCAACATTGTGTTCCTGTATTGGAGGCTTTTAGTGCAGCTTGGCTCCGAGTAAATGGACGGCTATCATTTGTTAGGAAGCTAGGTTTCGTCTGGGTGCCTGGTTGGGGTGTGTTTGAGCTGGAGGTATCAGGGGGGATCTGTTTGTGCCCAGGTGTTTGCCTGGCTAGTGGTGTGGAGATTTTTTTGTTTGTGAGTGCAGGCTTCCAAATAATTGACAGTCTGGTGGAATAATCTCTTCTATTCATGCTTTCAGGTCTTTTTTCCATCTCTATGGCTTCTCTGATAATTCTGTGGCTGGGGTTTTCTATAGTGGCTAGGGTTTTGGTGCCATTGAAGTTGATGCTATGACCTGTGGCTTTCATGTGTTGGACTAGTGAGGAAGTGTGTTCCAGCTTTTTTACTGCATTTTTGTGTTCATCCCAGGCGGGTACTTATTCTTCTATTGGTCTGTCCAATGTATGTGGCCGGGCATGATGCACAGGGGACTTCATATATGCCTTGGTTTTCCAGGTCAATTTTATCTTTGGGGTTTCTAAGGATGGCTGCTATTTTTCTGTCTGTTTTGAAGGCAGTCTTGATGTGATGCCTGTGTAGTATCTATCTATCTATCTGTCTGTCTGTCTGTCTGTCTGTCTGTCTGTCTGTCTGTCTGTCTGTCTATCTATACAATATATATACACAAAAAAGATACTGATTTTATTATTATATGGAAAGATTAATTTAAAAGAGGTAGCTAGAAACAGGCACAACAAAAAGTCTTGTGGCACATTAAAGATTAATATATATATATATATTTTCTTAAGTTTAAGCGGGTACTTACATGTATGGCCTTCAGCTTTGTTTGGGTATTTTCCCACGTCATTATAGCTGTGCTTTTAAAGTTGTAGCAACGTTTCAGCAGAATCTCATCTGACAGATGAGATTCTGCTGAAACGTTGCCTGATGATGGCAGATGAGGCTCTGCCGAAACGTTGCTACAACTTTAAAAGCACAACTACAATGACGTGGGAAAATACCCAAACAAAGCTGAATGCCATACATGTAAGTACCCACGAAAACTTAAGAAAACATATATACACACACACACACACACACATATATAATTACCACCACCATGGAAGTATACACGAAAGCATTTTTCAATTCATTTTTATTGTGAATGTAGTTAGGAGAAAGACCCTCTGAACTCAATGAAACATCTATTAAAATTTGCATAACATAATCATACAATTGAGTACTGGATTGCGAAAGACCTTTGGATTAAAATTGCATGTTCACATAAAGCACTGAAGCAAATTAAAAGTTTCAGATATATGTAAGAGATATTACTCATGTGATTGTATCAATGTATTAGAGATCACAGTGAGTCACATGGGTTTATATAAAAATAGAGGCTTAGGTAATATAACTTCAGGTTTGGAAAAAAAAATCTATAGGATTTGTAAATATATAATGTTGTACTAATGTAAATGAGATTAGATCAGGGGTGTCCAACCTTGGCAACTTTAAGACTTGTGGACTTCAACTCCCAGAATTCCTCAGCCAGCTTTGCTGGATTAGATTGTACCTTCCTTTTTTTTTTTTTTTTTTTTAGCAATGTTTGTATGATGAATCCAGTGTGACGACCACATATATTGCTGGAAAGGTTTTGAAGTCTTGTCATATACCTGTTAGTTATAAAAACCTTGTAGAAAAACCTCGGGTGGTGTTGGACAGAAAAGAACCAGCTAACAAAGAAAATATTGGCAAATGAACAACACGGGAAAAAATAAAATCAACAATATTTATTTTTGTGCAAACTAGTGGTAGAAAGTCTATTATAAACTCTAATATAGGTAATCTTCAATTTATAACAATTTATTTAATGTCCATTCACAATTGACAGTGTTGAAAAAAAGTGACATGACTCATCCTTGCACTTATGGTCGATGCAGTGTCTCCATAATTACATGATCAAAATTCAGGTACTTGGAAACTGGTATATATTTACCACAGTTGCAGCATCTTGGGGTATGGGTGTGTCTCATGTGATCACTATTTGTGACCTTCTCAGGGGGCTTCCCACAAGCAAAGTCAATAGGGAAAGCTGGATTCAGTTAACAAATACAATTTGTTTAATGGCTGTGGCATAAAAAAGTCATAAAATAAAGCGTAACTCACCAGTTGCATTGATTAGTGAGGTTCCAGTCCCAACAGGTAGAAGGGTAGCATATAAATTAAATAAACTACCACTAATTCTGTTTAAGAATTTTGCATAAAATATATAAAATTCTTCTATGATTGCAGATCTTTTCTGTTTTGTATCTCTGCCTACAACAAAATTTAATCAAATATTATAGTTTATTTCTAATTGGATTTGCTAGTGTAGTGTAGAATCATGTATAGCTTAGCAAGAAGCTATATAATAAGCGGATAAAGTGCATTTTTGTGCACTTTTGCATTAGCAGCACTAGGGGGCAGATACAACTATAACTAATGCGCATGGCATGTCAAGGATGTGGGAGTTATAACTTCCTGCTGTTTTCTGCACCTTTTTCTTTTTTTCGTTATTTCCTGCTTACATTCCTTATCAAAGTGAGGCTCAGATAACTTTCACAACCTATCTACTAGGCCAGATAATCCTGTTATATTGGAAGAATGTAGTAGTATTCAGCACAGCTAGCAGCTCCTACAACTTGGAGGAAGGTCAAAAACCATGCTTTTGGGATTTATATGAGCAGAGTGTGATAATACGTTTCTGTTGTGAAAAGAATTTTTGATTAGATCTTAATCATAGCATGCCTGTTTAAAATAAATTCACCATTAATTAACTAACATAAACTCACTTGAAAATAAGCCTTAATGCAATAGGATACATGGCTAGAAAAACTCCATTGGAGTTTAATCCCAAATAAACTTGAACCAACTTAAAACTTGAACCAACTTCTGAGATGATGCAAATGTTTAGGACTGTGTTCTACAAACTCAGTGCCTGACTGAATCTGTGATAAAGCTTATGCCAGTGGAGCTCTGAGCAGAATAACTTGAGTTATGCAACTATACTAAGTTGTATGTTTAAGTTTGATAATGTCAACCCAGCTCTTCCAACTTGTAAACTGTATTTTTAAAATTTATTGTGCAAATCCAGCCAATTGTGGTTTAAATAAACCATTATTCTTTAGCATGTGAGATTACAAATGTCATGTAATTTAATGTTTTCATAAGCCTAGCTAATGGGCTTGTAAACAATGGTATATGGTTAAGTGGTGTGGTGTAAACATAATCTTTTTTTTGAATAGGTTATGCTTAAGAAAGCCAACAATAGTATTTTCTGTTCACTGTTGATAAATTTATCATGATAAATGGTTGAAATGTATTAGTTACAAAATCAAAAACTGATACAAATGCATATGTTCACTAGAACAAACTTGTTCATCATTTTGAGTACCTTAAATATTTTTAATAGCGCAGAATATGGCAAGGACAGCTTCAACAAATTTTCTTAGTTTTCAACAATACAACTTTTTTTGAACCTCTGAAATGTTGGTATACAGATTGTTTACTCATCTACAACTGCAGTATAGATGGGGTTTTTTACAATATAGCATCCAAACATGAGAAGGCCCAACTGAAACCAGCATTTTACTATCTGTGGTTGGATTCAGCAAGAATCTGACTCTTCAGCCTTTGCCTTTCTTATTAGACTTGCAAGCTCGAACATAATAGTGGACAGATGAAACCTTATGTATCCTACCCATTACTATTTAATAGTGATGTTAACTTTCACGTGACAGTGTGATATTGTGAGGCTGCATAGGGGAATTGACACTTGTTTTTTTAAGGTATTGGCTGGCCACGCATTGATGAGATGTAAAAAAAATAAAAATAAAAATCCTACAATGGAATAAAAAACCACTTTTGTACGAAACCAAGAAAACTGTTTTATCTCTTCATGTAAGTCGTCCGGAGTCATTCTGAACTGGAAGGCTTTAGTTATTTTGTAGTCGGAACCAATTAGGTAGAATCATGACCTTGGTATCACTTGGATACACTGCATTGATGGGACTGCCTTCTCCATATAAAGTATTTCCTTTTTACGCTAAAAAACAAAAAACTTTAGGAGCTCACAACGGACGAACTACTGAAGCAGTTTTTAAAAAAACGTTAGACCCGTTACATTTCAAAATCCTTAAGCCCGCGATTCCGCACTACCTTTTTTTTCCGGTGACTGATAAGCCAACGGGCCTATCGATAGACAAACAACCTGCACAGTCCAATCAGAAACAGAGTGCGAATTTGTCCCCTGCCCACTTCGTATCGTTGTAACTGACAGCGCTTCCCGCCAATTCTAACGGCCGCCAAGAGCAGGGCAGCCTCGCCCGTTTAGAGAAACACCGACCAATAGTTTTGTGTTGCAGACCTGAGTGATGGGCCCCAACATCCAATTGCAGCGAGGTGGGTGGAGCCTGGCTGCCCGGGTTTCCTCTCCGGCTCGGTTTTCCCCCTCCCCCCCCCGCGGGTTCTTCGCTGCGAAGAAAATGGCGGCGGCGCCGAGCGGAGATGAAGAGAGACTGTGAGTGACCCGAGGAAAGGGGGTGGGGAAGACCTGGGCCGGACCATGAAATCCCTTGCATGGGGGCCCTAGACGGGACCATTTGAAGCAGTTCCGAGGGTGGAGAGGATGCGCGACCGTGATGCGGCCGTTGGTTTCTTTCCGCTCGTGGGTTCCCCTCCCCTTTTCTCCTGCGCGCCCAGGGCCCCTGAGTGCGTCACAGCAATCCCCTCTGCCCAGCAATGGGAGGGGCTGCTCCTCCTGCCTAAGAGGGGAGGAGGAGTGGGTGAGGAAGACATGGGCGTGCCCCCTGAAGAGAGAGGGGTGGGCTTAAGGTCAGAGGTGACTTGATGTTTCTTGATGCTCTCTCGCTGATGTCAGCTCCCCGGGTTTACTCTTAGTGGTGCTGACCATCTTCTCCAGCCTCTAGGCCCCAAGCTATGTGTGGTCCCATGCACCTTTAGCTTCCTGCAGCTGATCCCACCAACTTCCTTGGGTGTCCTTTTCTCAAGATTTGGTCCTGGATATCGGGAACATTTGGTAATATGCTTTTGGGGGAAGATTCTTCTCTTTCCAGGCAGCCCCATCATACTGAATGCACGCAAAAGATAAGAAACTGGACAAAGTTAGTATGGTATTCTCCATGGGCTGCACTGCAGGGAGGATTGGGTTCCATTGTGCTCCCCTGTGAGTGGAAAGTGCTGTCTTTGCCCTCCTTTTTCTAGGTTATGCAGCAGGAAAATTTGGGCCTCATTCCTAGCTATGGTGGCATCTATTAGATATAAGGATACAAGCAAATGAGCCAAGGTTTGCATGGACAACAACCTTTTGCCTGCTCATTTGATACAGAGTCATAATGGGAGGGAAGCTAGCTATTGTAAATAGCAGAAGGTGAGTCAAAGAAGCAGAGATGGAAACTCATTTGTTTTGGGTCTTTGGGTGCAATGGTCTGCATGTTGAGCATGCGGACTATTCAACTAGATAGATAACTAAATGGGATTAGAAACCTTCACTTTTTGCAATTGTCACTTGTCAGATTCTGATAGATAAATACAAGAGTAGGGATAGTAGCTTCTATCTCTTCTTAAGGTTTACAGATAGTCCTCGATTTAACAACAGTTGTTCTCAAAATTTCTATGAGACATTTGTTAAGTTATCTTAGTCTCCTGCAAGCAAATAAAATCCGCTTCCAAAGACTCCAGGAGCTGCCTCAACCCCGCTGACCCCGCTCCTGTCGCGGCCTGTTCATGTTCCAAGTCACCAGCCTCATCCCAGCTAAGCAGGGTGGCTCGAACCCAGGCAGAGAAGGCAACCCTCCACCGTATGTCACTTGCCTCATTTTATGACCTTTCTTGCCACAGTTGTTAAGTGAATCACTGCGGTTAAGCTAGTAACTACGGTTGTAAAATGAACCTGGTTTTTCCATTGACTTTGCTTGTCAGAAGGTCGCAAAAGGTGATCGCATGACCCTAGGACACTGCAACCGTCATAAATATGAACCAGTTACGAAGCATCTGAATTTTAATCATGTGTCCATGGAGATGCTTTAACAGTTGTAAGTGTGAAAAACGGTCATAAGTCACTTTTTTCAGTGCCACTGTAACTTCAAACGGTCACTAAACAAATGGTTGTAAGTCAAGGACTATCTATATTGAATTGTCAGAGACACAGACTTTCCATCTTATAAAAAGAGTGGTAAGAAAGGGAAGATGGTAGTGCATCTTGGAGGAGCAGTATTCATGTGTTCACTTATTTTCCAGTCACTCCTTTACTTGGCAAGAATAATTAAATATGTGATAGTTAGAAATAACAATCACTATTCTGATTAATATTTAGTGTTCACTTTGAAGAGCCTGTTTTTACTCTTCTACTGTTCTTTGGTTATTTCAATGTGGAGGATTGGGTGAAGGGTGATTGCTCAGAATCAATCAATGAACAAAAAACTAGTACTGCTCTTAGAGTCAACATCAGATTTTTGCCCCTTTTTTCGGTTTGGAGAGTTACAGTAGGATGATCTGATATTTAATCAAATACCTTTGTTCTCATCTGTTTGTACCAATTTTTCCACACTGCTCCATTGATGCTCACTTTCCACTTTCATTTGAGCTTTGTTGTTACTAATCTTCTAATGCACTTTCCTCAATCTGGTATGTTCAAAACATTAGGGATCAGTAACCTTGTTATGTAGTGGGTATCATGAAATTTTGTGCATTGCTTAAACTGTCAAATATGTTTTGTTTTAAAAGTTTTAATAAAAATCCCCCAAATTATAAAATATCTTACTATAGTTAATTCTGTTAATTATATAATTTGAAGGTGCCTGAGTGCCATCTAGTGATGTTGTAGATGTCATACTTATGAGCCCTATGTTGATGATCTTTGGACTAAATTACCATTATCTCAGTATAGGAAATGCTAGCAAAATATGAGAATTGTAATTGGACATATCTAAAGAGTTCTGTCTGGAAAAAGATGCTTTAAAGTTGTGGTATTTTCACCAGTTACGTAATTTTCTGCTTCCAATTATTTTGTGTGATCCTAGTACTATCTTTTCAGTTATAAAAGTTGTTTACTATATTGAAACACTTCTATCCTAAGTAACTTATAACACTAAATGTCTGATCTTGTTTATTTGATAGTCTTCTGTGATTCTGATGCATATATGATCTACCCCCTATTTATCCCGCTACCCAATTTCAGAATCCTAGCCATCAGCACACAAAAATCAAGTACTATCTTACCTATATCTTCCTTACCATAAATATTGGTTTTGAGTGCTTATTGTATTCTTGTTTTACAGCTTTTATTCCTTCAGCAAAAATATATTTTTGACGGTTTTATGCCAATATGGGTGAGTTTATGTGAGTTCCTGGGATAATAATATAATGTTTGCCACCTTTAGTTGTGGTCATAGGTGACATTGAGGACTATTCATGGAGCATTCCAAAAATTGTAGTCTTTGTGTTATGTGTTGTGGTTATTTATCAAACATATATTAGCTATCAATTTATGCTTCATCTGCATTCTTATTTGAGAAAGTTGCTTATTTTCAGTCTGTGACAATGGCAAAGTCTTAAAGAGGTTTACAGAAAATTATTAAAATCTAAATATAACACAGTAACATTAGAATTATAATTTGAGCTATAGAAACTATGCAGCTAGGAAAACAGCAATTTGATAACATTAAATAAAATCTTAAAAATGCCTCTGGGAAACACTATTTAAATTTGTCTCAAAACAAATGGAACCATGGTGAAATAAAATATCACTTCTAAGGACATTCTAAAGTTTGGATGCCACCATCCAGATACTGGTAATTATTAGGTGTCTGATATTTATCTGATATTTATTTAATTCATAAATAAACTAGCCATCTTATAAATAACTCTGGGTGACTAACTTTTAAAATGGAGTACAGTAAATATAATACAATATATTCTTTACCTTGAAAAAATTGGCAATTTATAGATATTTTAGAGTATATTTGTTTCAGCAAGAATAAATAGAGTGTAGGTTTTCATCAACTAAAGTTTGCTATAGTGCTGTTAAAAGTCATGCATTTTAAACTAAAACATTTAATGATGCTAAATTTTAATGTAATTTTACTTACTTTTTAAAAATATTCTGATCCATGGAAAAATAGACTATTGATTCAATCATAGTTAATCATTTATCTGAAAAATGGCCAAATTATTGCATGTTTATAATCTATGGCATATTCCTTGGAATGCTCAGAAATCATGCTTTTGAATTTAGGCATCACATTGTTATGAAACAGAGAAGTAATTCTCCCATATTGAAGAGGAAAATGCTAAAAAGTGGGATTCTCTAAATTTATTCCAAAGCTAGTCTCAGAAAATCCTGGTTTGGTTTATTAAAATAACATCATTGCTGCCTTCAGCCACTTCCAAAAATTTACTGCAACAAAAGTTCCTCCTTGAGGTAAATTGGGCTGTGAGATAGTGTCAGCCAGTGAGCTTCTATGTCTTTTATGTTCTTTGTCCTAGTCCAGGTTCTAGAGCCACTGTTCTTATATAGATCCTAATCCTTAGAAATCTTATACAGTAGTTGTAATCCAGATATAATATTTCCCGCAGTACTGTGCTGTAAGAATTACTTTGTCACTCACTTAGCTTGTATATAGTCATGAAAGCTATTACCGGAAGAGCTGCTTATTTACAGTAAAAAGCAAATTACAAATTGACTATGATATTAGACTTATGAGTTAGTGTGAATTAACAGACCAGTTTTCTCTCACTGTAGTTTTTTCATTAATGCCTTTTTCAAAATGAGATACATTGTTCTTTTGTGGTTGTTACATCTTTTCATGGGTTCAAGTGCTTTATGAATAATCTTTTTTGCTATTCCACTATAGTAGATTGGGAGATAATGAATATATTGATAGAGATTTGAAATATACCAAATGAATTGCGTTCATTTCAAATTAATTCGTATAAATATTCATCTTTGGCATAGAAATATTGTTCTGACTATAATAAAAACTGAGCAAAGCTAGGATAAAACATAACCTAAGTTATGACTAAATTTGCAAAAGATGCTAAGTGTATCATTTCAACCTTGCTTTTAGGACTGTAGTCAATTATTAAATATTTCATCATTTAATGTTACATTTAAATCAACTTATAATTTGTTAAGACTTTACTCCATCTGGAAGGATATGTATTTCCTAAAAAGTCAAACCAACCATTTTTGGTGTTTATATTTTGATTTTTTTAAAGTAAGCTAATAAGGATAATAACTAAAAATAGTGAAGCTTTAATAATGTAGCCATAATTGTGGTCACTAAGGTGAGAATTATTTAGGACGGTATTGAGTGCTTGATGATATATGCTTTTTGTTAGGAACAGCAGTGCCACAAACTACATTAAGGTTATTACCAAACCAATACTCTTATACCAACTCTCTCTTATAAATGATATTTCTATTTATATACATTTCTCCATCTTTGTTTATATCACTCAGCCATATCAAGAATAGAGTATTAATTGAATAAGACTACA